CATCTACCCATCCCTCTACCCATCTACCTACTCATCCATCCATCCATACCTCTCTCCCTCCCTCCCTCCATCCACCCACCCATCCACCTACCCATCCACCCACTTATCCGTCTATCCCTTCACCCTCCCATCCACCCATCCACTGATCCATCCTTCTCTCCCCACCCACCCATCCACCTCCCCATTCACCTATGCATCGCTCCTTCCCACCCTCCCTCCTTCTCTCCCTCCCTCTATCCATCCATCCATCCACACATCCACTCATTCAGTGTTTGTTGAACACTAATGGTGGCTTGAGTACTCCGGTGGTGGTGGTGAATGCAACCATATCCCTACCTTTTTAGTCTTCACCGTCTAGAGAAGGAAAGTGTCTGCGTGCCAGATACTGAGACTATAGCAAGGAACACAAGAGAAACATATCCCTGTCCCCCGGATTTACATTCTAGTGGAGGAGACATAATGAACACCTATGATATGCTGGGTGGTGATAAGGCAGAGGGAAGGGGCTGGGAATTCCTGGGAGTCAGTCTGCCTGCTGAGCAGAGATCTGACAGCAGTGAAGGAGCAGCTGTGCAGATATGGCAGCAGGGAATATCAAAGGCAGAGGGAACAGCCAGTGTGAAGGCCCAGAGGCGGGGATGTTCAGGGAAAGGCACTGAGGTGGGGGAAGAGCAGGTTATCTCCCGAAGTTCTTGGCAAGGAAGGGTTTGGCTGTGACTCTGAGTGACAAAGGGGCCTGTAGAAGTTCCGGGACGGGAGGGGGGGGGGGATGACCTGACTTACAGGTTGGCGTCTGGGTTGGGAATAGATCATAAGGGGCCGGAGCTGAGGCGGGGAGATGGGTCAGGAGGCCACTGAACTTGACCCAACAAGAGATACTGGACCAGATGGTGGGGCGGAGGTGGTGAGAGTGGGGGACTCAGGTATGTCTGGAAGGCAGCTGCGAGCCTTCCTCGTGGACCGGATGTGGGGTGGTAAGAAGAGGGAAGTGTGCCGGCAAGGTTTAGGGCTTCCCGGATGGGGGAACGGGACTATAGAAGAGGAATGGGCTGCAGGAAGGGAGTCTGAATGGGGAGCTGGACCGAACTCGCTAAGCTGGAGGCGAGGAGTGCAGAGGTGAGGAGCAGGTCAGAGGGTGGAGACGGACG